GTGTGTGTGTGTGTGTGTGTTGAGTTTTGCTTTTTGATATGATCTGGGCGCTCGTGGTTTGGGCGTAGCAGAAGCAAGCACAGCCGCTGGTTTTCAAGGAGACAGGGGGCGAGAGTCCCATGCTGAACCCGGAAAGGCATGGCCGAGTCGGCTGAGTGTTTCTGAGCATCGGCTGATTGTGGATGGAAATGATGCAGGCAACAGCTGGGACACCTTCGACCGGCTTGCGAGCTGGGTGCCTTCGAGCAGAGGCCTGACTCTGACTCTTCCGGAAAGCGGCATCAGGAACCGAGAATGGCCCAGTAGCAAGCGCCTGGAGGTGCACAGACTGACGACTGGTGTTCAAGGATGGAAGCGGCACGATTGCCGAAGTCTACTAGTCACAGGCAGCCAGTTGTTCCTCGCCTGCATCCTCGCTGACCGATGCCTTCTGCGCCGCAATCTGATTTTTTCTTATTGAGGCTCATCTACGAGAAGGCTCGTAGATGCTCGCGGCACTTCCACTCTAGCCACCAACATGAAGCCTTCGATCTTGATTGGACTGTCCAGGGCTCGGTTGACCAAGTCAAGACAGTTGTGGATGTCGGAGCCGGCGAAGTGGAGAGGCTGCGGACTCGAGTGATTCTATTGTACTATACTGTATTATACTATATCATATTACTGTTGCGAATCCGAGTGCTTGTTTTGGCCTCAAGCAGGTGTTGCTTGGTCGGCCCGGGCATCATGTCCTTGGAAGTGCATCGGAAGAAGCGACGCTCGCAGCACACCCAGTCCCCATTGGATAGGTTCGAACAGGAAGGGAGAGGAAGACACAGAGCAGGGAGCCAGCAGGGACGGAGAAATTCAGATGCACAAAAAAACAGTGAATAAATGGTCGTGACCGCCAGTGAAGATAGCTTCGCAAGTTCGCCAGAGGTCGAGCCTGGGACGCTTTACATCGCCGCACAGAGGAGGCTGACAGCGGTGCACGATCATTTTCGCGCCACAAACGGTCGTATCTCAAAGACTCCGCAGAGCCGAAAGGCATCAAAAAGCCTTTTAGTAGCATGCAGCTACACAATGTGCCAAAATCAGAATGCCTTTTTGCCAGGTGGGTCCCGGTCAGATGCTCGGGAGCAAAAGTTGTACTTCTTCGAGTTCGACCATGCGACTGCCGCTCAAGAGCCGCTTGGCCTGCAAAATGTATGTGAGATCTCGGCGCAGCACAGCTGCCTCATACCTGCTGATGTTGAACTCTTTAACATATCAGTAGAGAATTGCTCTCCTGCGTGCCAAACAAGGTTTTGCGATGCTCTCGCGAGTCTGCAGCCGCTGCCGAACAGATGACCTCAAAAACAACGGCGGCACTTGACATGTAGAGTCTTTAGAGTGTCTCTGTCCAGTATGCCGCATCATCCGGAGCGGTGCCCAAGCCCCGCAGTCGACTGTGTGCGGGAAGTGGACGCTTGCGAGCCGTCGCAATCAAGATCTCTCACTTGTGCTTTGATATGACCGCTGCCCCGCCATGCCTCGAAGCAGAATAAGAAAACGCGAGAGTTGTTGCAAGATGTTGCAAGCTCGCCTGCGATTCCTCGAGCTAGTTAAGAAGTTCGAAGATGAAAAGCTGCAGGTTCTCCATTCAGTACAGAGTGGCTGTTCGCACCCCGAAGCAATGGAGCGGCGCAGCAGTCCTCTGCAATGGAAGTGGTGAATGAGCATGATCGCCTGTACTTGGCAAGCCACAAGCAATGCGTCAACGCAAGTTTGCGGGATGTCGGTTTCTCCACCGTCCGCTGCAATTTGTGCAATGGAGAGATCAAAGCTGGCTTTTTCGTCGTGGTGATGCAGTGCAAGCACACCTTCCACAAGGACTGTTTCCACAGCCATTTCTCGGTTGCAGACAACCCGCAAGACAATCCACAAGAATCAGATGGCATCAGCACAGGTAACCAGGCCTGGTGGTGGGTGTGAGTGCTTGAGGTTATACTGTGGGCCTATGGCCACCTGCGTTTGCTGCTCGTGTGAATGCTCAGCTGCACCGACAGGTGCCTCCCTTTCAAACTGATCTTTCGAACCCAGACGGCCCGACGCCTGAAGATGCAGCGGCAGTTGTTGCACCAGTGACAACCAGGAGGCTTCCAAACACAAGCTCTGCAAGTGCGCTGCAGGAGGGAGGCAACAGTAGATTCTGTCAGTCTCCTGTGGTCCCAAACCCTGAGGCGTGCACTTCTTTGTCCCCATCCATCCTGCGGAAGCAGCCTGGTCTTCGGTTGGACGAAGCAGTCGGCGTGACTTTGAATGCTTTCCCTTCCGCTGACTGCCGGGTTGAAGAAGACTACTGGTAGTTGCTTGCCTACAAACGTAGCTGAAAGTTGCTGCCCATAGATCTTAAGAGACTATGCCCTGATCGTGTCTGCGAAGACACTGGCGCGGGCAGGCTGATCTTTTGCGAACTGACGTAAAGCAAAGATGTTGAACAAATACCTATCATTCCCTCGTAGTGCAGCTCGGCCAAGCAATCCAAAAGATCGTGTTAAGGCTTTCGAATTATGTGTCAAGCCAAAGACATGGACAACAGCAACGTCCAGGGTCTCGCTTGCTCACTAAAACGTTTCAGCTCCAGCATTCCTGCCAGAGCTGACGACTGCGAGCAGGGAAATGTGCACAGGTGTTGGCAAGAGCGTCTTTGTGGATGATTGGCTTGGAAGTAAATCAGCTTTCTAGACTTCGGCTGTTATTCTTAAGGCACGTCACAACTTTGCTTTTCAATCGAGTCTGTTCGGCCCACCCGCCCGCAGAAAGTCAAATTGGATGGCGGTGGCATCGCCGACTTCACAAAGACACCGGATGGCCTCAGGACGAACGAAGCTTCAACCGCAGACTGATGTGGCTGATGTCATCGTAAAGACGATGTGGAGCCTCGAGCCTAAGCAAAGCCTGTGATCAGCCTTGGCTTGGAGGATTCTCGATCTGGCACAAGGTAGCTTGCTTCAAAGCATGAGACCACAGCGAGCCATCAGCTTCTCTTGTTTGTGTTCGAGGGTTCTGTGGGCAACTCGGGTTGTTGTTGTCCACCAGGAAAGGGCGACGAATGCTGCGCTCAAGATGACATTGTTGTGGCCCGAAGCCGAGTGTCATGCGGAAGGGGGCAGAACTACCGCACTAGGCCCTAGGCACATCTCGAGCCGCACTGGCATGGCCTTTGGATGGTGTCGGCTCAAGTTTTCTGCCGAGCTGTCCAACGCGCTAAAGGATTCCTGCCAGGCGTCGGCAACTCAGCCCAAACTCGTTCGGAAAACAGTGAGAGAGCTTGGCCTTGTTGAGAGGTCGATGCCCAAGAGAAGCCACTTGGCATGCACAGCAATGCTAGCTAGCTGAAATCAGCGAGCCAGTTCCAGCTGACGATGCCCGAAGAAGCTTCACCCGTAATGCTTTGAAACCGTCCACGATCATCGATCCCCAGCAGTTGGCTTCTTGGAGGTCGCTGTTGGCAGCGATGGTGCTCGCGAAGGGCGAGGTTGGAGTCGTTGAACAACTGTAGCTTTGGTTTCTGCGCGTCGGTTCTACGGGAAGATTTCTGTATACTGCGTCATACCGTCATGCTGATCGAATGCTGTAGCAACAAGTCACTGAATGAGAGTGGTGGCCCGAACTGCACACTTCTACTGACCGGCGCCAGGGTGACATCGTTCGCATTGCCGGAACTGCCATTGCTTCTAGCAGGGGCCATCGGCGGTCCACTCTGCATTTGTTTGTTAACACCCTTGCGGAATGCTTTGACCATAGCAAGCCACTATCCGGACCAGTCGGCGATTGATACTCGGTGGCACAGTTCGTCTTCAAAAAATCCTTCAAGTTTGGGCGCCTCACTCCTCAGCTCTTGACCCCAGACGACCACGCGCAAAGCAGTTGTCCCGTCTCCATGAAAGAGACTCCTCTGCACATGCGCGCATGGCTGCTCTGGCGCATGTGTACCCTGTGTACCAGCGCGTTTGTCGAGATTGAGTGAGAATCGTGCTAGAATCAGAGCCGAGTTGCCAGTATCGTTACCCTGTTTATCGTAGCTTTTTTCACTTTCAGGCCGGAAGTACAGGCCTTGATTAGTCTTGATTTTTGCTTCGCTGACTTGCCGGATACGATTTCCGGTTGAATGGGATGTGATTCTCAAGCCTGTTGTCTTGGGTATGGTCATGCCGAGCGATAGAGCACACTGCCAAGCGACTCGGGTGCCGTATACACCTGCGGGAGAAGCGCCGTGGAAAAAAACTCAAGATAGCAAGCAACAATTCAAGGAAAGTGCCGTGGGAATGGCGTGCGCGGCACCACTTCTAGTTCAGCAGCGTCAACCGTCAGGCGTGAACATGCTTCGAGTTGATTGATTTATTTAACTTTCCTTCATTGTTCTTAGTTTTTGTTGGTTCTGCTCACAGTTCCTACAAATCCGTAATTTCTTTTTTTTACTGTTGCGGAACAAGCAAGACCCCAACCAAAATGGTAGACAAGACCACTAACGGGGATCCTCCACACACCAGCATGCGGCACAAACACATGCATGCTGCATGCAGCTATGGATACTAATGCAGCCTGCCCGCCGCATATTAATTTGCGATGTCATCTAAGGCAAGGTAGGGTTGTAAGGTCACGTAGGTGATACGAATGGGTACAGATGCCGACTAAAATGCTGAGACGACGCGTGTCCCAAAGAACATGCAGCTTTATTTTGGTGTTTTTCAGGAAGCGTAAGGAGATCTTCTGTGTCGCGCGGCTTTTACAAAATCATCTCAAGCGAGCCTGGAGCTTTAGCAGAAGGACTTGGAATGCAGTTGCAGTGGCAGTATACCGAGGACATCTACAGCGCGCTCTACGCCGATGGCTTGCATGCTTGGACTGGCGCCAAAGTCACGCTTTGGACCAGCTGCCCGCAGTTTGTTGTGCTGGGGCCGCTCTACCACATGCTGAATAGTGCCTGTGGGGCTGTCTATGCAGTGGTGCTGGCAGCGCTTGCTGAGACTCTACTGACGATGCTTGGATGCACCAAATTTCGAGACTTTCGTGCATCCTCAGGTTTCAGCAAGCATTTGCTGTCACAAGGTATGGGCCGCAGACGGTCAACGCAAGGATGGCATTCAATGCTGGCCATGGTTCTATGGACGTCGGCAACGTGTTCAGTCTGTTCGGCCCGGGAGTCATATTCTTGTTTCTCCGAAGCTTGGCCGCGTTGGCAGAGACAATGCTGCATCCAGCTAGACGCCCGCATGTGCTCAGGAAACTGTCTCGCAATGAGTCGCTTGGCAACTTAGACTCCTCGGAAGGTTTTTCGTAGATGGTCGATGTGTCGAGATCCTTGGCACTTGCATTGGCACGAGAGCCTGGGTCGGTGTCGCTTCCAGCTGCAAGCTTGCGCCAGGCATTCCGTCTGCTTCTGAAGCCCCGCCCAAGCTGAGGTGGCATTCGGATTCTGTCCGATCCAGTCCAGTCTGGTTTGCATCGTTGGCTGGCACGTGCCAACATAAGGGCTCCACATCCAGATCTGATGACATTTATCGGTGATTTTCTAGCATCTATTCTGACAGCAGTGCTGAGTGCACCGCTGAATCAACTGTATAACTATGCCGTCATTTCGCAATTTTACACAGAGGCAGGACCACTCCAAAAACTGATCCTTGCATGGCAGTTCCTGGAGAAGACATACCTGGTTTGGGATGCGAGTGGCAACCTGGTTGGGCTGTCGCGCACATTCACCAGAGACCTGGTCATGCGCTGTGCATATCTCGCGACGTTGATGAGCCTATTCGGAGCAGTAGAACGAGTTGCCGTTTTGCTTGGACAATGGGCGAAGGCGAGGTGGCTGAGGCCATGCCAGCTGCCCAGTACTCGAAGCGAGCTGGAGGACAGAAACGAGGTGAGAAGCCCCGAGGGTCTGGACAATCAGCTTGCACGCGTCAAAGTCGTCAGCTGTAAGGGCTGATTCGCTGCCTTGACGGTTCGCTGTGAGACTTAATTCGCAGCCTGGCTGTGGATTCTAGCTCGGCGCAAGGAGGCTTAAGGCATCCTGTGCATAGGTTGTTTCCCTAGACCGCAAACAGAGCCAAACAAAAAACGTGAAGCCAGAGAATGTCAAGACAAGATTATTTAAACGCTTCGTGTCTTCGTTTGCTTTGACTCGCATCTCAAAGTGGCGGTGCGCGCCTTCAAGACTTCCTGGTGCAGCCTCGGTACATGACAGAAGACTATCTTTGCAGGAGCAGGTTGTAGCGTCCTGCCACTGCTAAGCAGAAGAAAGCAGGAACTAGTGTGCAGCCTGCATGGCTTTGCGACAAAGTGCGGATTACGAGGCAGGTTTTAGGCTAAATCTGGGAGTTCAATCCCGAGCGCTCTTCTCCTTACTGTCATTTCTGCCATCAAGGTAATGTCTTCTTGCCATCTGCCTCTACGTGTCGCAAGTAGGTAGGTGGGTCCACCGTCCGAATCGAGGGCAGTAGACGCCTACTCATTCGATGTGCGTGGCTGCGTAGCCTGGCATATCTTTCAAGCCGGGCAGCTGGAGGCATTGGCCTGTCCAAACAGGCAGGTGCAATCGCGCACAGTAAGTGCGAGCAGGGAGAGAGCAAAAATCCAAGTCACACGAGCCATACCGGTATCGGATGCAGCCCGACCTCTTGTCAAAATGCTTATGCGGTGTAGCAACAGCCGAGGTGGATTGGAGTCTGAGGAGAAGTAACGGCTACTTCGTGGATGCCTCGTTTGGTTTTGATCCAGCAGCTTCCTCGGCTCGGTGTCGTGGAAACTTGCACGTTGGCATGTGGGTGTGGGACTCACTGGTTCCTGCGAGGGAAGAGGTATAGATGAGAAGTTCGGTGTCGGCGCGAGCCTCAGCCAGTAGCCGGTGTCAACCGCCGACGACATCCCCGGAGCTGTGGAGCACCTGATTGCACGTGCTGGCATTGCTTCGGCCCCGAGGTTCGCCTGAGTTGCGCTTCTCGCCGATCGGAGACAAAGGTGGCAGAGGGTCAGTGAGGGTGAGCTTTTGGAACCCAAAGAGCTCATACCCAGACAGACGACCTCAATAGACTTCTGCGGATAAGGCGCCGTTTAGTATCGCTTGTGTCTCAGTGCTTTGAATAATAATGGGCCCCCTGTGACAGCATGCACATGCTCACAGGCGACAAAGTCATTGAAGGCATCAAAAAGGCTTGGGCTCCACGTGTTCGCATTCCATGGGCATGCCTAAGCCCTAAATCTGAAGGCGTTGATCGGTATGCGAGTCGGTGGGACACGACGGGTCATCGTTTGGAGCTCAAGCCCTCTTCCTCCTTCGTACCACGCGGCTGCTGGATCCGCCGCGGTGTGGTTCAGGTCCCTCCAAATTTGGGCCCTGTGCCTAGACGGGCGAAAAAGAGGGGCATAAGAATGGGCTCCCGTGGTCTGAGGTTTCGTTTCTGATGACTTGGCACCCAAGCCGAATGACTGGGGTCGACAGCGCCAGGCTCTGGATGAGCTGAAGGTTTTTGGAGAGTAGACTAGAGAATGAGGACAGGGGCACGCAGCTTTCTGATCCGTTCACTGATGTTGGCACTACTGGCTGCTCTGGGTCGTGCATGCCAGCAAAAGTGCCTGCAGCGCAGATCGATCGCTTCAAGAAGAAGGACTGGGTCATCGAGCTGCGGCTCAAGGCATCCGTGCCCACACGTAATGCTGTGGTGATGAAGCGGAGATGTGCGCTTGGCACTTGAAGGCCCTACGCAAGTGATTGCAAGCGAGAGAGGCGGCTGGCGCAGTCTGACGGCTAGCAGTCGAAAAAGCTTGGGCCGGGATCGTACCGCTGGGGCAGCTCCAAGCACTGTCTTGGCTTGAAAGCCTCCTACGAAGCAGGTGAAGTTCTGATCTTGTGAGGCCGGCAGCTATACAACAGTACCGGCGAGTGAATCTGATAGTCCAAGTCAGGATGCGAGAAAGAAGGCACTAGACAATGGCCTTCGCTGACGATTCTCTGGTAAAAAGAGGGCTTGTCCACAAAAGCATTTTCCGATGATTAACATACAGGCTTTTTCTGTGTCGCCCCATGGCGTCGCATATTTGTGCTGATCCCAATGATCCGCGGCTCCTGGGCCGGCATATGGTTGGTGGATGCCAGCAGCTGCAGCAGAAGCTGCGACTGGAGGAGCTCGAAGCTCTGTTTGCCTCTCCTGTGAGATTCGTGCGTGCAGGAAGTTGAAGCTACAAACCTTGATACTGCGTAGTAGGAGTTGGCAGCAAAGGGGCGCAACGCCGGCGAGAACAAGAAGGCAACAGAACCAGGGCTGCCCTCGAACTTGCTGAATCCGGTACCTCCCCCGCCCTGCGCAAATGTTGACAGGAAGCTGCGAGCCCTCCGCAAGTCGGCCTTGGCTGGGCGACGATCCGTTTCGACGGAATAAAGGTGCGCGATGGCAAGTCTTCGGACGCGGCAGTGGTGCGCACGCTGAACGAGGGCCACAGGGTCCTCGTAGTGGAAGTTCGCAGCAAGTCCGTGCGCATCAGCATACCCAGCTGTGGCTGGGTCAAGCTTCAGAAGCACAGCGAGCCCGTGCTGCAGCAGGAGGCCTGCGACGTGCGCAAGCCAGGTCAGGAATCCGCGACGACGCAAGTGACCAACAGTGTCCTGCAACG